GCATACAATCAGAACATTTCATATTATCACAACCTTTTTAGTGATTGCACCTGCAAAATAAGTCACCATGGGCCCCAAGAAAGCTTCTAGTGCCAACCCTACAGCAAAAAGGGTGAGAATTACTATGGATATGAAGAAAGAGATCATTGCTAAGTATGAAAGTGGAGTGCGTGTCTCCGAGCTGGCCAGGTTGTACACAAAACCTCAATCAACAATCACTACTATTGAGGGCAAGAAAACGGCAATCAAGGAAGCTGTTCTTGCCAAAGGTGCAACTATGTTTTCGAAACTGAGATCGAATGTACTCGAAGATGTTGAGAGACTGTTATTGGTGTGGATAAACGAAAAACAGACAGCAGGAGATAGCATCTCTCAAGCGATCATATGTGAAAAGGCTAGGAAGTTGCATGACGATTTAATTAAAAAAATGCCAGCAACTAGTGGTGATATGAGTGAATTTAAGGCCAGCAAAGGTTGGTTTGAGAGATTTAAAGGGAAGGGAAGCAACCCCAGAAAAGGACTTGCCACCTCAAGTCCTAATGGAAGGGGATTCCCCTTCTAAACACTAAGATCATCAACACTCTCCCCTCCTCCCATCCCATCAATCATCACCTGATCTTCAATAAAGGTAAGTGTCATGTAACTGTGCATGTCTTCTTCAGTTTGTGTGTATTAAAATTAATATTTCATGTGGTAAAAACAATTTTTTTTTCATACTTTGGGGTGTCCTACACGGATTAATTTGATTTCCATTATTTCTTATGGGGAAAATTAACTTGACTAACGATGAGCTCTCAGGAATGGATTAATAGCATTAGTCGAGGGTCCACTGTATGTATATATATATATATATTTATATATATATATATACACACATATATATATGCAATAAGATCACAGTAAACAGGTGATTTCAGAATATGCAAAACAACCACTGTGAAAGAATAGAGAAATTCCAAGTGCTTTCATGACTACTCACATTATCGAGGAACATTGTTCCTTGATAATGTGAGTAGTCACAAAAGCACTTGGAATTTCTCTATTTTTTCAGTGGTTGTTTTGCATGCATGTATGCATGCATATATATATATATATATATATATATACATGTATATGTATGTATGTCCACCCAGGGAGGTACTACTGTCCTGCCAAGTGAGTGTAAAACAAAAACCTGTAATTGTTTTACATGATGGTAGGATTGCTGGTGTCTTTTTTCTGTCTCATAAACATGCAAGATTTCAGGTACGTCTTGCCACTTCTTACACTTAGGTCACACTACACATACATGTACAAGCATATATATACACACCCCTCTGGGTTTTCTTCTATTTTCTTTCTAGTTCTTGTTCTTGTTTATTTCCTCTTATCTCCATGGGGAAGTGGAACAGAATTCTTCCTCCGTAAGCCATGCGTGTTGTAAGAGGCGACTAAAATGCCGGGAGCAAGGGGCTAGTAACCCTTTCTCCTGTATATATTACTAAATTTAAAAGAGAAACTTTCGTTTTTCTTTTTGGGCCACCCTGCCTTGGTGGGATATGGCCGGTGTGTTGAAAGAAAGAAGAAAGATATGTATGTATGTATGTATGTCCACCCAGGGAGGTACTACCGTCCTGCCAAGTGAGTGTAAAACGAAAGCCTGCAATTGTTTTACATGATGGTAGGATTGCTGGTGTCCATTTTGCTGTCTCATAAACATGCAAGATTTCAGGTATGTCTTGCTACTTCTACTTACACTTAGGTCACACTACACATACATGTACAAGCATATATATACACACCCCTCTGGGTTTTCTTCTATTCTCTTTCTAGTTCTTGTTCTTGTTTATTTCCTCTTATCTCCATGGGGACCTGGAACAGAATTCTTCCTCCGTAAGCCATGTGTCTTGTAAGAGGCGACTAAAATGCCGGGAGCAAGGGCCTAGTAACCCCTTCTCCTGTACAAATTACAAAATTTAAAAAGAGAAACTTTCGTTTTTCTTTTTGGACCACCCTGCCTCAGTGGGATACGGCCGGTTTGTTGAAAGAAGAAAGATATACATGTATATATATATTATACACACACACACACACACACACACACACACACACACACACACACACACACACACACACACACACACACACACACACACACACACACACACACTTGTAGGAGGCTGGAGGTGCAGCTACTACTGGTCATTCCCCTAGCCAGCATTAAAGCCATCCTGCTGAAGGATAACAGCCCTGGAAGACAAGAGAAGATTCCTAGAGTCCTGAAATCCCTAGTATCAAGCATTATGACTCACAAAATAGTAATAACACGATTGCACACAAACCAGGGAATGGGTGGGGTTTAAAGCCATAGTGAATGGGTCCTAAAACTCCTGGCCAGGGTGTAAGCTACTGGGCCAGCTGGCTACAATAAGATTCATCCCCTAGGTATATTTCTTATCTTATCTTATCTTATCTTCTCTGCACCCTGGGGAGGTTAGCGTGGGCCACCACTGTGACCAGTTTTAGGAACCACACACCATGCTTTCAAAACCCACCTGTTCCCTGGTTTATCAGGCAATATGATTTGTTCTGGTCAGAAAGTTACCTGTATGTTCAGCATAAAACTTCCACAATTCTGGCAGTGACACAGTCACTGCCAGAATTATTGTTCCCAGTGTTTCCTCCACCACCAGTGTTCCCTCCACTACAAGTGTTCCCTCCACATCCAGTTTTACCTCCAACACCAGTGTTAAATCTCACCACCTGTGTTACCTCCACCACCCACATACTATTAAACCCAGGGAAGGTATTATGGTACAGCGCAATAGTAGTGGTGGTGGTGGTAGTAGTAGTTATAGTAGTAGTAGTAGTAGTAGTAGTAGTGGTAGTGGTGGTGGTAGTAGTAGTAGTGATAGTAGTAGTGGTGTAGTAGTAGTAGTATTATTATTAGTAGTAGTGGTGGTAGTAGTAGTAGTAGTGGTGGTGGTGGTGGTGGTAGTAGTAGTAGTAGCAGTGGTGGTGTAGTAGTAGTAGTATAGTAATAGTAGTAGTAGTATAGTAATAGTAGTAGTAGTAGTAGTAGTAGTGGTGGTGGTGGTGGTGGTAGTAGTAGTAGTAGTAGCGATAGTAGTAGCGATAGTAGTAGTAGTAGTGGCGGTGGTAGTAGTAGTGGTGGTAGTAGTAGTAGTAGTAGTAGTAGTAGTAGTAGTAGTAGTAGTGGTGGTGGTGGTGGTGGTGGTGGTAGTAGTAGTAGTAGTAGTAGTAGTAGTAGTAGTAGTAGTAGTAGTAGTAGTAGTAGTGGTAGTAGTAGTAGTAGTAGTAGTAGTGGTGGTAGTAGTAGTGGTGGTAGTAGTAGTAGTAGTAGTAGTAGTAGTAGTAGTAGTAGTAGTAGTAGTAGTAGTAGTAGTAGTAGTAGTGGTAGTAGTAGTAGTAGTAGTAGTAGTAGTAGTAGTAGTAGTAGTAGTAGTAGTGGTAGTAGTAGTAGTAGTGGTAGTAGTAGTAGTAGTAGTAGTGTTAGAGAGCAGCGGCCGTCTCCCTCATACACTCTCTTCAATGACCTGGAACTAATGCGCTTAAATTTGTATTGAGAAATCATGCATACATGAGAAGCGCTTGTAGTTAGAAACATGGAAGTAGAAGGATACATATAGTACTACATTAGCAGAGTGTTTAAGGTAATAAAGGTTATTATGAGTATAGAGTGAGCGGTGTACAGAGAACAATATACTATGTTAACTACTCTCAATGTTCTCTCACCTTCATATCAACCATGACACTTTCTAACACATCTGTGAACTAAGACAACATGAAGACCACTTGATGCGCACTTTACAAGGACGCCAAGCCAGAGAAACTTCAGTGTGCTCTGGCATATTTATGAAACTGGTCCCCTCAAGGGAGGTTCCTTGATGCTGGTGAGGGGCTCTTGATCTAGGGAATTGGATCTGTTCTCCAGTTCCCTGAAATGAGCCTGAATACCTTCCATCCATTCCCCCCCAAATGCGCTGTGTAATCCTACGGGTTTAGCGCTCCCATGATTATAATAATAATATAATAATATGAAACTGGTCTAGTCTGCAAGTTAACTTACAAAATAGTATTAGAGTCTGAACTAGTTTCAGAAATACCAAGTAAACATTTTTATTTATAGACCCCGAAGATAAGAGTGAAGGGTGAATATTCAACTGGACGAGGGTCAGTACCAGACACATGAAGGGGAACAACCAATTACTAAGAACTGGTGAATATTGTAATAAACGATGAAGTTATAACATTACTCTGAAGATATTTATTGTCTTCGATATTAATAAAAGAATATGAAGTGCAAGTCAAAGGTCTCAACCCCCAGGACTGTTGTTCACCTATCAAGAAAGATCAAATAACATTCACTCAGCTTTGTGAGGGATATGTTTCAGTGAGGATTGTTTCAATGAACTGTGTTTCAGTAAGGCGTGTTTCAGTGAGCTGTTTCAGTGAGGATTATTTCAGTGATCTATCACGGGTAAGCCAGATGTTATCTCAGTAAACCCAGGTGTGTCTCAATACAGCAAGGTAGTGTAGTTGTGGCTGGGGGGGGAGGGGGGGTAGAGAACACCAGTAAGTCATAAAGTTCATCGTAAACAAAGTCTTTTACTCCCTAGTCACTCTTCCCCACCTCCCTTAACCTGCGACCTTCCTCAACCTGCGACCTTCCTGCTCGTGAAGTTCGTCCTCTCTGACCTAAAAGAATAATACCTTGACCTTTAACACGGAAAGCTTTCTCTTAAGTGACCTCTAACCTTCAACACCCACAAACATTGCACTACTAGACACCGATGGCTTTTTATCATCTTAAAATATGCATCATGACCTTACGAAGTGGTACCATGACCTAAGCTGAGCATTATCTCTGCTGTCAGTTGACTTGGGAGGATCAGAACCAACCACATCAACACATAAGTTGAAAAACCGCAACATGTCTTCACATCATTAAGGAGCATCTGCTATATACCTATCAAGATGGGTAAGATGTTAGCACCCACCGTAGGGGTTGTCCTCGCCCAGCCTCTTGCCGTAGGAGACCATGGCCTCGCCGAGGACCCCTTCAGGCTGCGGGTAGGTGGAAGCCTTGGCCTGCCCAGACAACTTGCCAATACCCTTCACGGCAGACATCTTGGCCCGGGAGGCGGGATTCGGGTGCAAAAACTCCTTCGTCTTGAGCTGCAGGTCTTCCACCAACTCACACATGATGTCAGTTTTCTGGAACAAATACATGCAACTCAGATATTATGACAAGGTTTCCCTAAGAGATACATAAAGGTAAAGTTTAACAAACTTCACATTTTCCCCTAACACACGGTCCATATTATGTTTTTATCTAATACACATACGTCAGGTCCTCATTGAACACATACAGGTCAGATTATTTTGTTTTTATTTTGTATGACACGTTTTCCAAACCTAACTACTTTATGATGGTCCCGGGGGTCGTCATCGCGCCTGTGTTTCAAACCAGGTCTCTTAGTTGACAACTTATCAGTCAGGTTATTGGTGCTAGGCAGCATGCAGATGAACGTAAGCACCACACAGCCCTGTTGATAATGGAGGAACTTGTAAAGTCCTCTTCAGAGCAGTTAGGTTGCTGATGGTAATTCTTTAGTTGAAGGAAGGTTGATGAAGGTTTGGGTCCTTCACACCATGTTGAGGTATATCTTAGTGTACTTATTCCATAAGGACTTTTACCCTCTGCTGTGACTCCAGTTGTCCTAAGGAGTAATATCAGTGTGCAAAATGGGAACTAGTCCCTCCAGAACTTTTTATTGCAAAAAATTATATATTTGAGGGATTTTTTGGTATTTCAAATAATGTAGATGTTTAGATTGATAGAGTGAGTCAGCCTTAGAGTGTCAATGTACACCAATTACCCAGTGCAGAGTACACGCGAATACAAGAGTAGAATTATTGGTTGTGTTTCTCTAGTTTGGAAAGTTATTCGTTCCAACCTATAATTTTCCTTGCAATTGCAATAGCAACAATATCTGTTTGCTTCAATGTAAGATCTTGCACAACGATACTCAAGAAATCGTAATGACACGATTGCAAATAAACCATACCCCCGGCGGGGTTCAATCCCGGCCGGGGGTATGGTTTGGTTTGCACAACGATCACTTGCAGGTTCCTTACATTCCTCCAAGCTCTACACTTGGGGTCGGATTGCTCTCTCTACATAGTTCCAGTGCTTATTTCTTGATTTTTTTTCATTGAACATCATATTGTTTTAATTATGCGAATGAAAGAATTGGTTAACACAGTCTAGAAGGTTTTATGTCTCTTACATTGATACTGCCTCATATTCTAATATAATCTGCGAGGGATGGTAAGCGGTAAGTTTTCATCTCTTGTGTCAGAAATCAGAATGAGAAAGATAACCGAGACAAGTACTGCGTCTCGAGCAACGAAGTTCTTCACTGTGCAAGTCTAAGTTTTACTTTGTTGACTACAATATTACTCTCTGAGACTTAGTTGCTACAAATCTGAAAATCTATCGAGCCACTTTTGCAGTTATTTCTTTTGGACGCACCTAGTATGATATTACATTATGACCACACTTGTCCAAGAATTTGACAAATTTTGTGTACATTAAGTCAGCATTTTGCTCGCCTTGTGGTGCGCATAAGAATGTGGTAGTAATGCAGCTGTTATGGGAGGCAGGAGTGACCTCTTTAAACTTAATTAACACATAGGTTATATACATATTATTATAGAACAGTACGTGCTTAATAATCTTACTTCTTGTCACTTCTTCAAGTATTGATAATTCGTGACGTCAGTAATACTAATCTACAATTTTTCTCGACTACTATACTGCCATCATTGTGGAGCGGAGCTCTTAAGCAACATTCACAGCTTATGAGAAGACGCTTGTCAACACTCAGTCAACAGAGGTTATGCAAGACCCATCATAATTGTGTGTGTGTGTGTGTGTGTGTGTGTGTGTGTGTGTGTGTGTGTGTGTGTGTGTGTGTGTGTGTGTGTGTGTGTGTGTGTGTGTGTGTGTTAGACAGAGAGAGAGAGAGAATCTGTGCGCTGCCGCCAACCATACGACATTTTCATCCACCTACACAAACACACACACACACACCCTGGTCACCTACACACACACACCACCCACACACTCACCCTAGTCACCTACACACACACACCACCCACACATCCCCTGGTCACCTACACACACACACACACCACCCACACACTCACCCTAGTCACTACCACACACACCACCCACACACTCACCCTGGTCACCTACACACACACACACACCACCCACACACTCACCCTGGTCACCTACACACATAAACCGCCCACACACTCACCCTGGTCACCTACACACGCACACCACCCACACACTCACCCTGACCACCTACACACACACACACACCACCCACACACTCACCCTGGTCACCTACACACACACATACACCACCCACACACTCACCCTGGTCACCTACACACATAAACCGCCCACACACTCACCCTGGTCACCTACACACGCACACCACCCACACACTCACCCTGACCACCTACACACACACACACACCACCCACACACTCACCCTGGTCACCTACACACATAAACCGCCCACACACTCACCCTGGTCACCTACACACGCACACCACCCACACACTCACCCTGACCACCTACACACACACACACACACACACACACACACACACACAAATGAAATCGAAAGAAACCCGAAGTATTTATTTTCTTATGCCAAATCAAAGTCGAGAACAACGTCCAGTATTGGGCCCCTACTTAAACAAGATGGGTCCTACACAGATGACAGCAAGGAAATGAGTGAGCTACTCAAGTCCCAATATGACTCAGTTTTTAGCAAGCCGCTAACAAGACTGAGAGTCGAAGATCAAAATTAATTTTTTATGAGAGAGCCACAGAATTTGGTTAACACAAGCCTATCTGATGTTATCCTGACGCCAAATGACTTCGAACAGGCGATAAGTGACATGCCCATGCACTCTGCCCCAGGGCCAGACTCATGGAACTCCGTGTTCATCAAGAACTGCAAGAAGCCCCTATCACGTGCTTTTAACATCCTATGGAGAGGGAGCATGGACACGGGGGTCGTCCCACAGCTACTAAAAACAACAGACATAGACCCACTCCACAAAGGGGGCAGTAAAGCAATAGCAAAGAACTACAGACCGATAGCACTAACATCCCATATCATAAAAATCTTTGAAAGGGTCCTAAGAAATAAGATCGACACCCATCAGTTACACGACCCAGGGCAGCGTGGGTTTAGAGCAGGTCACTCCTGTCTGTCCTAACTACTGGATCACTACAAGGTCCTAGATGCACTAGAAGACAAAAATAATGCAGATGTAATATACACAGACTTTGCAAAAGCCTTCGACAAGTGTGACCATGGCGTAATAGCGCACAAAATGCGTGCTAAAGGAATAACAGGAAAAGTCGGTCGATGGATCTATAATTTTCTGACAAACAGAACACACAGAGTTCCACAAGGCACAGTACTCGCTCCCATCTTGTTTCTCATCCTCATATCTGACATAGACAAGGATGTCAGCCACAGCACCGTGTCTTCCTTTGCAGATGACACCCGAATCTACATGACAATGTCTTCCATTGCAGACACTGCAAGGCTCCAGGCGGACATCAACCAAACCTTTCAATGGGCTGCAGAAAACAATATGAAGTTCAACGATGAGAAATTTCAATTACTCAGATATGGGAAACATGAGGAAATTAAAACTTCATCAGAATATAAAATAAATTCCGGTCACAAAATAGAGTGAAAAACAAGCGTGAAGAACCTGGGAGTGATCATGTTGGAGGATCTCACCTTCAAGGACCATAACATTGTATCAATCGCATCTGCTAGAAAAATGACAATGATGACACTCTTCAGGTCGTTTGTTCTATCTAGGCTGGAATATTGCTGCACACTAACAGCACCTTTCAAGGCAGGTGAAATTGCTGACCTAGAAAATGTAGAGAGAGCCTTCACGGTGCGCATAACGGAGATAAAACACCTCAATTACTGGGAGCGCTTGAAGTTCATGAGCCTGTATTCCCTGGAACGCAGGCGGGAGAGATACATGATTATATACACCTGGAAAATCCTACAGGGACTAGTACCGAACTTGCACACGAAAATCACTCACTACGAAAGCAAAAGACTGGGCAGACGATGCAACATCCCCCCCAATGAAAAGCAGGGATGTCACTAGCACGATAAGAGACAACACAATAAGTGTCAGGGGCCCAAGACTGTTCAACTGCCTCCCAGCATACATAAGGGAGATTACCAATAGACCCCTGGCTGTCTTCAAGCAGGCACTGGACAAGCACCTAAAGTCGGTACTTGACCAGCCGGGTTGTGGCTCGTACGTTGGATTGCGTGCAGCCAGCAGTAACAGCCTGGTTGATCAGGCTCTGATCCACCATGAGGCCTGGTCACAGACCAGGCCGCGGGGGCGTTGATCCCCGGAACTTTCTCCAAGTAAACTCCAGGTAAACACTACAACCACACCACCTCATCCTGGTCATCTACATACACACCACCCACACACTCACCCCGGCCATCTAAACACACACCACCCACATACTCACCCTAGCTAACTACACACACACACACACACACCACCCTTGCCACGTACACACACCACCCACACATTCACCCTGGTCACTTACACGCACCAGCCACACGCTCATCCTGGTCACCTACACACACACACACCACCAACACACACTCACCCTGGTCACTTACACACACCACCCAGGTCACCTACACACACACACACACACCACCCACACACTCACCCTGGTCACCTACACACACCACCCACACATTCATCCTTTTCACCTACACACACACACACACACACCACCCACTCACCCTGGCCACCTACACACACAACCTACACACTCACCCTGGTCACTTACACCACCCACACACTCACCCTGGTCACCTACACACACCACCCACACACACACACACCCTGGTCACCTAAACACACACACACACCACCAACACACACCACCCTGGTCACCTACACACACACACCACCCACACACTCACCCTGGCTACCTACACATACACATACCACCCACACACTCACCCTGGCCACCTACACACACACCACCCACACATTGACCCTGGTCACTTACACACACCACCCACACTCATCCTGGTCGCCTACACACACACACA